GCTGCCGCTGCCGCTGCCTCTGCTATCATCATCAATATTGATTACCGGCAGCTGTCTTCTTCGTCTTCTGCGAAGAGAGAGAGAGAGAGCGCGCCAGTGAGAGCGCGTGCCGACAATGTGCTGCCATACTCCGCACTGCGCTCTGCTGCTCTCTTCTGCAGTGCTCTGCTGCGCTCCCTCTGCTCCCTCTCCCTCTTGCGCTCACTCGTTCGTTTAGCTCGCTCGCTTTGGCAATTTGCACTGTTTGTTTGGCATGTTAGCCCCCCGCCGCAGCCCTGGCCCATCGCACTCGTAGGCGCCCACGTTGCTCGCTGTCTTACGCGTGTCTGACTGTGTGCCTGTGTGTGTGTGTGTGTGTGCGCGCTTGTGTGCGTGCCTGTAGGCAGGAGGCCAACAGGCTGCCCCCCTCTCTCTGTCTTTGCTGCGCTCTCGCTCTCACGGCTCTATGGCAAAATTGTTGCAATTTGTTTAACGCGCATTCGCTCTCTCTCGCTCTCTCTTACCATATGTAAGTTTTCTGCACTCTCTCCCTATCTTGCGTACCCCTACCCCTTCCTCCACCAGCTAGCCCTCTTTCGGTCTTCTTTGCGCTGCGCTATCTGTTGTAGTTGTTCTTCATTATATTTTTTGCTTCATCGATTTTATACTTTGTCGTTGCAATTAGTTCTTCTTCTCTCTCTCTCTCTCTCCATCGCTCTTCTTCTCATCTTCTGTTGCTGCGCTTTGCGCTTGTTATTGTTATTGTTGTTGTTGTGCTTCTTTTTGTTGTTCCGTTTATTGTTTGTCGCCTCTGTTGAGGCAGGCGTCGGGCCAGCCAGGCGGCCCCCCTTCAAGGCAAATTGTATCTGTTGGATACATTCGCAGCGAGTGCAATTCTTGCACCTAGCCATCAGCTACTTTGAATTACAGAGATATAAATTACAGTTAGCCAAGCTTACGTGCGCTAATAGAAATCTAAATGGGCCTCTCCAGGTAATCACAATGTGGGCAAATGTAATAAAAGTCGCTCAGCTGGTAAATCATTTGAAAAACATGACTTACACAACACTGAACACCCCTAATGCAATTGGATATAGCTTTGATTTCCGATAAAATAGCAAAAATAAATCATTTCAGCAACAATAAGAAATTGCGTTTCTTTATAATAATACAATTTGATATCAAGGCTCAGATTTTTTTTTATAATTTTACTAAGCTCTCGAAGTTTCATTAGAAATATCGCCTGTTAATCTTGTCTCTTAAAATTCTCAACTAATTCAAGCACAAAGACGTTCCAGATTCCGAAACTCTGTTAAACGTGTTCTCAAATGCGCAAACTAATTGTCGTTAGATTCTGTTGCCAAATTAAGTCACCTGTGCTGGAAGGCAAGGCCAATAGAGCTCTACCTGACCAGTGTTGACCTATAACAGATTTTTTGTGTTTCTCCTACTTTTTTCATTGTTTTTGTTTTGCTGCGTATTAAAAAGTTTTTCTGTGTCGTTTGTTTCACGTCAAATAATGGTTGGCTCCAAGGTCTTGACTTTGCCTTCGGGCTGGGGGCACACGCAAAAGTTCAAAACGTCAAACACACGCGCCCGCACACACACACGCACACACACACACACGCACACACACACGCTTATGACAGTTAAACAGTACACGAAATTTATGAATGATCGCCAAAGCTTACGGCTATTAACAAACACAAATACACGCATCCGTTCATTTACGCATTTTTTTTTGTGTTCTTTTTTTTGCAAATTTTTACCATGAATCCACGGTAACGGGTGAAAAGGGTATGATGGTTTTTTGTATAGGTATGCAACAGGCAGCTGGAAGCATATTAGAACCCAGAAAGTATATCAGGGCGACGAGCTGAGACTATCTAGTCAGGAAACTATAAAAGCTAGAGACAATATTTGAAATATATATCATATATATATACTTTGTCTATACCACACGCACAATAGGCTTGTGCTTTATTGCGTAGCTCCTTATTTCATAATATTGAAATAAAATCTTTTTTCTGGCTAAATTTCTTATGCATAACTCGAGGATTATAGGAGCTAGATGCACAAAACTTGCTATGTAGGACCTCATATAGAACATAAACATGAAAAATGTTTACCTTTTTTGATACTTCTCCCTTAAAGTAAAAAGAACTTACTATCAGGTACTTTTGCACCTTTATGCCTGAAATATTTTACTAAGATCGGACTATAAGGTCCGAGGCATTGCCTATAAGAATATTCCTTCTTGCCTCAACTTTTAGATATTAAATGCTGATAAACTGTAGAATTGCAAAGATGATCTGAAATCTGAAGAATCGGGGCAAATATTTCATCAGAAACTGAGAAATATCGAGCAGAATTTGTTTATAATTAAAGCTAGGGTATATTCACGTCGACTAAGCAAGCTTAAGGCATATTTCACTGGCTTTTAATGTTGATTTTGGCATCGTCAATTGCGCGTTTATTTCCGTAAACAAAATCAATTAAATAATGGAAAACAAAACCAAAATTTGAAAGATAAAAATGCCGAACAAAAAAAATAAGCAAATATTTAAAATATTAAAACTGTGGCACAAAGAAAGCAACAACAACAACTTGGCCAACAAAATTGTTGGCCAAAAACACGCCAAAGGAAACTCGTCTAATGTGCCACTTAACTAATTCAACAAAACTGCGACGTAAAACGGAAATAATGAAATCAATAAAAAGAATAAAAATAAAGAAAAACTCAAAATCTTCTTCATCATCCGCATGCTAATGATGATCAATGAAATAGTTAAGCCACAGTGGAACTACGCAGTTAAGAAATCTACTGCCAGCACTAATAGATACAGCCAGAGGCAGCTAAAGCTACAGCTGGAATCAAGCTAAAGGCTCAGATTTAATATGCTAATTCATAAAGTACAATCAAGCCCAAGATGTAATATGATAAATAGAAAGATATAGAAAGTACAATGGGCTACAACAAGCTAAAGAGAACAACATTATTCCAGATTATACAAAAAAGTATTCTTTATATAGATTGATAAAGAAAGTACAATAACATGAATGAAGCTCAAGATTTAATATGATAAATACAAAGGTATAATACCTAAAATGATTGGGTTACAAACACAAGATTATTACAGAAAATGCAAAGCTAAATTCTATATATCTTCACGAATCTATCTGATAAATAGATTGATAAAGAAAGTACAATAACATGAATGAAGCTCAAGAGTTAATATGATAAATAGAAAGATATAAGAAGTACAATATCAGATAATACAAAGATAAATTCTATATATCTTAACCAAGCTATCTGATAAATAGATTGATAAAGAAAGTACAATAACATGAAATCAAGCTCAAGATTTAATATGGTAATGGGAATGATATAGAAAGTACTATGGGATGCATAATGCCTCAAACGAGCTAAAAAGAACATTATTTCAGATTATATTAGAACGTATTCTATATATCTTTATGTATATAGATTGATAAGGGAAAGTACAATAACATGAAATCAAGCCCAAAATTTAATAGACCTCATATAGAGAGTACAATAACAAGGAATATGTAATGTCTCATGAGAACTTAAAGGAACAACATTATTCCAGATAAAGTACAATAACATGAAATGAAGCTCAAGAATTAAATATGATGCATAGATGGAGAGATATATATATCAACATGATATACGCATTGTTTCATACGATCTCATAGCAACAACATTATTCCAGATATTCCATGCAAATGGTATATTTCATATATCTTAAGTAACTCGAATACTTTTGCTTAACCTTGCATCAAGTTTCTTCATGTTGAACCTGAAGTTCTATAGAATGTTAAACCCAGACGCATTGCCACAAATTTTATGTTCATTCTAATGACATTCTCTCTCGTTTTCGCTTGTTTAATAAATTTGCAAATACATATGAAAGCATTTAAGTATTTTATAATAATTGGAAGGTATATTTCTCGTATTCTTTAAAACTTTGTTTTCTTTTAGGAACTACGAAATATAATACTTTGAGCTAGTTTCCTAAAGAGTTGCATATGAACCTTAAATCTTATTGTTCTTCAATTCTATTTCTGCAGTTTGTTATTTCATCGGGTTTTTATAATAAAGAACATTTCTTGAGCTTTGTACTAGGGGTTAAGGTTCTTGAAAAGTTCAACAAAGAAGGAAAAACAGACTTAAGATCGTAAGGTATTTCATTTCCAGCTGTTTTTTGATCAGATATTGCTAATGTAGAAAAAGAATAAAAAACTATTTCTTCAAGTTCTCGGAACAGTTACAAACGGACTTTAGATCATAATATTATGTCTAGATGAGGAATACAAATGATTTATCTTTCTGGACTTTGGAAAAGAAACTATAAAAAGTTGTATAAACGTTTTTTTCATTTTACTATTATTATTTATATACAAAACTCCAACTGTATCAAGCTGTGCATTTCTTTTAAATACGTAAATGTTATTTCTTTTAAAGAAATGGCGCCCAACGCGTGCCTGGCAATTAATTATGTAAACGAATAAAACGAATTGTGTATTAAATTCGCTTGTGATGTTAACGCTTGAGGTGTATTCAATTCGCGTCTAACTCAATTGATAAACAAAACTAATTCAATATTAATATTTACTTATATTTTTTTTCTAAACAAAACTAATTCAATATTAATATTTACTTATATTTTTTTTCTCCCCCCTCTCTCTCTCTTCCACGTCTCTGTCTCTTCCGCAGGAATTAGATTTCTACAGCTTACTGCATTGCTAGTAAACGGGGCACAAAGAAATTGTTTAATAATTCCGCGATAAACAACATGAAAATGTAAACAAAACAAATGGAAATATTTTGTGTGAAAAGTGCAACAACAACAAAGTTTTTAATTTCAAGTAAAAGTTAAATTAAAATTCTTAGTTCAAGAAAAATACAAAAAAAAAAAAAAAAAGAAAACGTAGTTAAAAGTAAATTATATAAAAAAAAAAGTAAAAAATAAATTTAAGTGAATTATAAAATTACCAACAACAACAACAACAGCTGTGCTGTGTGCTTGTGTGTATGTGTGTGTGTGTGTGTGTGTGTGAGAATTGAAACGCCCGCTAACCAAAGTCAAGCGCTAGATGGCGCTGCTGTCCGCGCGGGCGGCTTATGTAGTTATTGCGCGCGTTGTTGTTGCTAATAAAACGCGCAAAAGCAAATTATAGCTGCGACCAGCAGCAGCAGCAGCAACAAATAAATTTAAATTTATTACTTAGCATAACAAAATCAACAACAGCAACAATCGCAGCAGCAACAACAACTGTTTAGTTTCGCGAACGCGTCTCTCGGTTTTTTCGGTTGTCGTCGCCGTCGTCGTCGTCGTCGTCGTCGCAATTCGTCAGTCAGTTGGTTGCACCTGTAACGCAACGGTCGCTATGTATCGTCGTCGTCGTTTGGCAGCCGCTAGTTTCATCTTCGAAGTGGGCAAATCGTTTGCCAGCACGGCAGCAGCAACAATTGCCGCCAAGCAACAGCAGCAGCAGCAGCAACATAATTTGTGCAACGGCAACTAGTTGCGGCAGAGACTTAAAATCGCAAAAACTACGAACAAGAAACTTGAAAAAACCAAATAAATACTAGAACTTTTTTTCATTTGCCAAATAATCCATAAGTATTGTCAGCAAAACTGGATTATTTGCTGAAAACTTTACGCACGCTGAAATCCAATTCGATTATGGCCGAGAATCAAAGCGCTGCCAACGAAGATTCCGGTCAGCAACAGCAGCAACATCATCATCAACAACAGCAACACCAGCAACAGCAACAGCAGCAACAAGTCAGCACAGCGGCAGCAACAATTGCTAATAGCGGTCAGGCCAGCGGCAGCAACTCGGCCGCCTCCTCGCCCGAAAGTTCACAGGAAACGCACACAATTGTTGCCAACACAACAGCAACAGCTGCCGCAGCAGCAGCAGCAGCAGCCGGCAACAACACAACGGCAACAGCAGCAACACGCCGGCAACAGTCCAGCAACACACAACAGCAGCAACATCAACAACAACAGCAGCAACGCGCCGGCAGCAACAACATGTTCGATCGTCATCTGAATGCCAAGTTCAAGCCCACGGGCGGTTCAGCTGGCGCTGGCAATGCGCCCGCTCGCCGCAATTCCATACAGACGCCGGCGCGCGGCGTCAGCGTGGTGGGTGGCACCACCAGCATTAAGAAGCCGCCGCTGACCAAGGTCAATTCGCTCGGCGGCAGCGGGCAGCATCATCATCATCATCATCATGTCGCCACGCACCAGCAGCATCATCATCAGCAGAACAGCAGCAGCAACAACAGCAGCAGCAACAATATACAGCGCACCACCAGCGAGAGCTTGCGCCTGAATGCGCTGAATCGCGGCGCTGCGGCAGCAGCAACTGTTGCTGCCGATGCCAGCGCCACGGTATCGCGCGCCAGCAGCAACAGCAGCCTGGCGACAGCCTCGAGCGCCTCGCTGGCGCCCAAATCGAGCAGCACCAATCACACTGCCACGCCAGCAACCAACACTAACACCAACAGCAGCAGCAGCAGCGACGCCGGCAGCGGCAAGGCCAGCTCGCCCAACAACAATGGGCGCGGCCTGGGCCTGCAGCAGCAGCAGCAGCAATGGCAGCAGCAGCAGCAGCAGCAACATCATGGGCATCATCATCATCATCAGCATCATCATCATCAGCACCATCAACAGCACACGAGCCACAGCCAGGGGCATCCGTCGGCAACGGCAGCAACAATTGCCGCCGCAGCAGGTGCTGCTGCTGCCTCTGCTGGCGGCGGCGGCGGCGGCGGCGGTGGAGGCAACAATCGCAAACCAAAGACGACTTCCTCATTTCAAATCACCTCCGTGACGGTGGGCCATGCCAAGCTGAATGCGGCAGGCGATACGGGCGATGAGTCCGCCGATGATCTGGACGAATCTCATACGGATGACAATAGTCGGATTACGGATCTGGAGAACGAGACGCCGTCCATGTCGGAGGACACGTTCTCCAAGGAGGAGGTGTTCTTTGCCAACAATGCGCTGAGCACCACCGCGCCCGTCATACCCACCAGTTCACAGTACGGTCTCGTTGTGGTCGATCCCATCGGCTCGCCCTCCCTCGGCCAGACCATACAGAATGTGCAGGTGAATGTCTCCGACAATATAATCAATGTGGTGAGTGCGGCTGTGACGCCTGGCGGCACCAAGAAGAAGGACGACATGAAGGAGACGCAGCATCGCAGCGAACGCTTCAAGGTGGTCAAAATTGAGTCGACGGAGCCGTTCAAGCGCGGACGCTGGATGTGCATGGACTATCTGGATCATTCCAGTGTCGGTGCTGCCAACAACAATGAAAAGACTGGTAACTCCGAGGCGGCAACTGTTGCTGGCGGCGGTGGCAACAATATGGGCGAGGGATGCGATCCCACGGCGCCACCAAAGACAACGCAGAGCATGATCCTGCCGCCGAGCATGCTCCACGAGAATCATCTGGAGGCCGCTTCGGCCGATGCCAATTGGAACTTTGCCGATCAGCAGCAATCGCAGCCGTCGCAGCAGCAACAGTTGCAGGCGGGCGTCGCCGCAGCAGCAGCAGCAACTGCAGCTGGTCAACTAACGGCCACGCCCAGCGGCGTTATGACCGCCCCCGCGACCGTGGTGCACGGCATGCAGCAGTTCGTGAACGCAGCCAACAGCGATGCACAGCAGCAACAGCAGCAGCAGCAACAACTTTATGACAGCGTCAATGCTAACGCGGGCACGCCCAATGCCAATGCGGAGGGCACGCCCCACGGACAGACGCTGCCCATGGACTATGCCACGGCCGCGGCGCAGCAGCTGCAACAGTCGCTGCAGCAGCTGAAGCAGCAGGAGCAGGCAGCCGCTGCCGCGGCAGCAATGGATGTTGCCACCAGCGCTGGCTACAGCAACAGCAGCAACAATAACAACAACAACAACACGACAGCAACAGTTGCTGTCAGCGAGCCGCAGCTGAGCAGCAGCAGCTATGTGGATCAGCCCTTGTCGCCGGCCGCCCAAACGCCACAATCGGCGCCGACATTTGCAGCTGTTGCTGCCGGGCAGCAGCCGGCGCCGCCGACGGCCAACTTCCAGCTGGAGGCAACATCGCAAATCGATGGCATTGCGCCGGCAACTGCAGCATTTCCAGCCGCAGCTGCAGCAGCAGCAGCAACACAGACTTCAAACACTTCCACTAGCACAGCAGCAACAGTTGCTGGCACAGCAGCAGCAGCAGCAGCAGCAGTTGTCACAGCAGCAGCAACAGCAGCAGCTGTTGGTCAGACTCAGGGGCAAACTTTGCCATTGCTGTCGCACATGAACAGCTACGAACCGCCAACTGTTGCCGCCGCAGCAGCAGTAATTCCCGCGCTGCAGCTGCAAAGCGCGCCAGCAACAATTGCCGATGTGCAGCAATTGGTCGTCGCTGGCGTGCTCGATGAACAGCAGCAGCAACAAGCAGCCGCAGCAGCTGCAACACAGACTCAACAGCAACAATTACCGCCAACAAATATCGCGAGTGTTAGTGCCAACAACAACAACAACAACAACAACAACAATGTGAACTTAACGAATGCAACTGCAACTGCAATAACAACAACAACAGCAGCTACAGCTGCAACAGCAACAGCAGCAGAAGCAACGACAACATCGCTCGGCTTGAGCGATGAACAGCAACAATCGACATCGGCAGCAGCAGCAGCAGCAGCAACTGTTGCTGCCACAGCAGCAGCAGCAGCAGCAACAACAGCTGCAGGAGCAGCAGCAGCAACATCATCGACAACAACACAGCAACAAATACAACAGCTACAGCAGCAACCAAATGCAGAATCGGAGACTGAAAGGTGAGTCCAAATAACAAGATTTTATATATATATATATATCCGATATTAAAGTATTTTTTAAAGATGCGATTAATTTGAGGCTCAGGTAGAGTCCGTTTCCCATCAGATCAGAGTTTCTCAATTCAGAAATTGGAGTAGATTGTTTTGTAATATATACATTTTTTGAGAATAGTTTTAACTTGTCATCTAAAGTTGTTGTGTGCATTAAATAAGTTCTCTAGAGAATTCTGATGAGTATCAGAGAAAAAGAGAGATTGAAAAGAGGAAAAGAGAGCAAACACTCTCTATAAGAAAATGTAGATATTATTCCAAAATTTGCTCTTCCCCTTCTGATTCTTCTTTTAAAGATGTTTTAGCCTAATTCGAACAGAGTCATTTAATTGAGTTTCAATTGATTTCCCGCCCGAAACACATTTCATTAACAATCTCTGACTACGTAAAAGAAATGCATCAATTTTTGCTTCCCCCGAAGTGAAATCATGTGCTTTAAATAAACTGCATGATAGATCGATTTGTGACCAAAATTCAACATGACTCATCAGATGCGTAACATGGCCAAAAGATAATTCAAGCAGCATGCGAAATCATAAGAAACTTAGTTGTTGATAAGATAAAAGATGAAGATTTCATGAATTAATTTGATTAAGATTTGCCAAAAATACATCTCTATTCATTAAAAAATTATAATAGCATCTGTTCTTGAAGAGTTCAATAGATTAAACAATAGATATATATGGAAAATTTCAAATGTATATTAATTTTGATTAGATCAAAATCTCAAATAACTTCTTAAAGTATCGAAAGGGAAATTATGTCGATAGGGTTTATTTCTTCATTTATTAGAAGTATAGATAAAATTTGCTTGCAAGTAAGTTTTGAATGAATGTGCAGAATTATAAATCAAATTTGATTAATCGATAAATAATCGATAGTTATATCGAACTACTGAAAGTATCGAAATGGAAACGATATCGATAGGTTTCTTTTCTTTTTTTTATTTAATGAAAGAAAATACAAAACTTATATATATTTTGAATGAAATGTAGCTCAGGTAATATGCCAATCGATAATTAATCGATAAATATATCGATAAGATAGTGAAAAACATTAGCCAGTCGCTCAAATAGAAATACAAAAATAATGCAACTTGTCAAGCGGAAAATGAAAACATTTAATTTATATATATTTAATATAATTACGACTAAATTTCTATTAAAAACGTGTATTCCACATATTTAAGATTATAGTTGTTGATTATCAACAACAACAAGAGCATCTTCTCGTTCATTCAACAACTTTCCGTCCATTCACAAAATTGCCTTCATTCACAATTTTCTAGCTCGAGCTCGAGCTTTGTCTAAGGCCAACTCAGCTGATACCGCTCGTAAGTTTCGCCCGCCTTATCGGCAACTATTTGAGCTGGCCAAACATTTGCTGACTTTTCTTTTTGTTCTTTATAATCAATTGGGTTGGGCCCGAACTATTAATAGTGCCCCCGGCTGGAGCTCAGATTTGTGGACATATCTAATTTTTCTATTTGTTTCGGACTATTTTTGGACAAAATTGTTTGAACAAGTTTCGGTTTTGCCGTTGATAAATTATTTCTTATATAGACTAAGTGACTGCTCCCTCCCTCTCTCCACCCTACAACTATTCAGATTTGCTTAATTCTGGCTGTGGCTGGAGGGGTGGGCTGGAGAGCGGGGCGGGGGAGGGGAGCTCTCCAGCAAAGTGCGAACACGCGCCACAAATTTTTTTTCGTGTCCCCATTTCATGTTTTGCTCCGCAACAATTGTGTGCCAAATTTTTGCGCTTTCTTGTGTGTGAGTGTGTTTTTGTTACTTATTCTTCTTCTCCTTCTTTTCTCTACTCTTCTTGCCATTCTCTTGGCGCGTTCGTTGACTTGCAACATGCCCAAAGGGGGCACCCAGAGGCGTATGCCTCATTATAATAATTTATTTAATAAAAATTCATCAATGAAATTAGCTGAGAAATGTTCGTGTGTGGGCGGACTAGCTAGCCATAGGGGAGGGGAGGTGTGTGTGTGTGTTAAATAGACTGTATAAAGGGCCGTGGAGGGGTGGGGGGAGGTGGGCGTGGTCCACCCGTTCCACACAACAACGAACAGGGGCGTGACACAAAAGGTCGCTCCAATTAAGCGCACTTAAAAGCGCACAAATTTTGCTCAATTGTTCGCGAGAGAGCTGAAAGTACTTTTACTTGTGCATGCCTCTTGTGAACTTGTTCCAAAATAAACTAGTTCAATAGTCATTTAAAAGCAAGTTCATGTTTGTAATTATATTTGTTTTAGACACGAAGTTCACTAAATTGGTTCATCAATCAATTGAATTAACGTGAACCGGTTCCAAAGTTAAAAGCTAGTCTACAGGGACTTGCAACTAGTTCAAAAGTCCTTCATACTTATTTTTCAAGTATGTAAATATAATTATTTCATGCACAAAGTTCTTTGAAGTGGTTCATCAATCAAAAGAAACAACGTGAACCAGTTCAAAATTGAATTTTTGTCTACGAACTAGTTCAAAAGTCACTAAAAAGCATTTTCATGCTGTATATATGTATATTTGAAAAAGAACTATAGTTCGCTAAATTGGTTCATCAATCCGCAAAAAATAGCTGGAACCAGTTCAAATGTTTGCCTCAAAAGCAGAGCTAGTTTATAATGTCTATGAAGTACTTCGAAAGTAATTTATAAGCATTTTTCAAGCCAATAAATGTATATTAAATCAATCAATAGAAATAACGTGAATCAGGTCAAAAGCAGAGATAGACTCCTTTATCGAAGAACTAGCTCAAAAGGAGTTATTCATAAGGTTCTCTGAATTGGTTCATTGATTAATAAAAAGAACTAGTTTACACTATATGTAAAAGAAGCTTCATGCCTGTGAATTGGCTTAAAGAAAGCTAATTGAATATTGAGATATTTAAACTAGTTCAGAGCTGAATTTGAACTAGTTCCATATGGGCTTAAAAGTTGTTCGGCAGTTTTTGAACTAGCTCGAAAATGAATAAAAATCACTTTTATATTAAATTCGTTCCAAATTTGTTTTGTGAACTCTAGATATGAGTATATTGGAACTGGTTCCAAAAACTTGCTTTAAAAATGAGCTAAATATATAACTAAACATTTTTATGCTGATTTAATTAATGAAGAGGAATGTTGTATAGCTTTTTTATAGGGTATTTAATATGCATGAACGTTGCGAAAGTAATTTAAAATTTCTGCTCATGGTTTTAGTTGATTGTTGTTGTTGTTGTTGTTGTTGGCGACAGTTGTGTCATGAGCCTGGCTGGCCAAACAGTTATGCGATGACTAATTTGTTGTGCGTGTGTGTGTGTGTGTGTGTGTGATGAGTCATTGCTGTTGTGTTAGTGTCTGATAAATTGATTGATCAACTGCAAATGGAAAAAGCAGTTTTGAGCAAATGCCAAGTTAAATATGCAGAGAGACAAAGTCAAGGCCTGCAGATTATAGGCAGATTACATATATATATATACATATATCTACGATATATTAGGCAGGCAGTCGTGAGTCGTGGCTCGAGTGGCACGTCAAAGCCGCAAATGCAGCTGGAAAATGTAAAATGTAAATGCAAAGCAGCGGCTGGCAAATTACTTTGAATTATGTGGCTGGGTATTAAAAATAACCGCAGCCAAAGACAACAGCAAAAGCAGACGCCCTGCACGACCACGCGGCGTATGAGTAATGCGGCAAGTTGTCTGTCCCCCTCTCTCTCTCTCTCCTGCTCACTCTCCTCCTCACTCTCTCGCTGTCTCAGCTCCGCTGTCCGGCTTTTGCCGGCTTAGCAACAGCTTTTGCCTTGTTCAACAACAGCTGCAAAGTGCGAGGAAAGAGTGTAAAGGGTTCTCTAGAGTCGACTGTCAGATACCCTGTAAACAGATTTTAAGCCCAAGCAAGAGAAAGGTAGTTTGAGTTTGAACACTTTGACTTGGGAGTTGTTATCCATTAAAAATGGGCAAAAAGGGGTATAATGTTTCTCATTTTGAAAAGCTTTTATGTCTGTGAAATTGCTTTTTCTATAAATACAAATTTTGTAAAATTCTATATATTTAACAATAAATAGGAAGAAGAGTTTTATATACGGAAAACAACAAAGTTTCCGACTTTGGATTTATTTTGTTCTTTAATTTTAAGTCTAACTTCATATTGAGCTTGATGTATGCACATATAAAATATTAGATATCTTAAGTTCTCTAATACGTTTTAATCCATTTAAGATCAAGAAAGAGTCTATAATTGCCTGCATATACCCGATTTCAGAGCTCTAGCTGCAAGGTTTCTTTAGCTCAAATGGAGCATGTTTCTTCCTTGACTTAAAATACATTTCCCTTTGACTGCAACAAACGCTCTCTCCAGTCCACATATGCCCCACTCATCTATTTATGCAGGGTATGCAAATGGTGTGCACTTGATATAAACTTGGCTGTTATGTATTTTACATATTTTTTTTTCTGCTGGCTCAAAAAGTTTGCCTACTCCAATGCGAACGGACAGACAATTTGTCCAAGTGCTGCCGACTCTGATTGATGCAATGTGGCAAGGGCGCACAAGTTGTTGCAAGTGCAAAGATGAGAGGCGATGAGGGGGGGAAGGGCCAGTGGGCAGGGTGAAGAGGTCGAGAGCTGAGCAAGTCGTGTGGCAGCAAGTGCAGTCGATCCAGTCAAGTGGACACTGACTGAGCGACGGCTTTTTCTTGTGGTCAGTTGCGACTCGAGATCTTAACCTGAACGGACAACCCTCCCCTTTAACCGACCCCCCCCCCCCCCCCCCCCCCCCCCCTTGACTGTCTAATGAAAACGAAAGTCTTTCTCAATGGCACTTGCTGTGGGAGAATGTTTACTTTATGTAATAGCTGAGCACTCGCCAGATTCAGTTGAAGCTGCATTGCATTATTAAAGCGAACAATTGGATAACAAAATGGGTAAATTGATAGTCGAGTGTGGGTGGGCGGAATATACAA